GCACCGCCGGTCGTGCAGGATGGCTATGGACTCCCTCCACTTCATACAGGCTGACTCCAGTTTTTACAGCCTGATCCACGCTACTGTTAGCTGCTGAATCGCTCCACAGGTACTGTTGGTCCTCTACCCTTCCGATACTTTCGCCGCAGCGGTATAGGATGGGTGCGGTGAGCTCTTTGGAGCTCAGGGACTTGATCTTCTTTACGGTCGACCGGAGTCCATTCTCAGCGAGCGCATCCTGCCACCGCTGCACCTTCCCTGAAGTTCTTGTCAACTATCCGTTGTCAGGGCAACGTTGTCAATGAAGAAGATGATTTTCAGTGGCTCTTCCATGAGTTCCCTTGCCATGACATCTAGAGTCAGCACGAAGAGGAACGGGCTCAAGGCTTATCCTTGGTATACTCCAACCTTGATGTCTGCTCGCCTTGTCAAGCCGTGAAGAGCACAGCCGCCTTGCCCCCGTCGCACATGTCCTTCCTTATGGAGCCCGGGTGTTCTGGAACGTTTCGTTTCGGAAAAAGCCTTGGAACGGCCGAATAAATTCTCCATTCAGTATTCGTATCCAAGTCGGCAACGATTTTCCTCTCAAGAAGATCTGGTTTAACGCCCATCATTCGTTCCAATGAGTTTGCTCAGCTGCCCTAGATTGCCCTGCCGAAGTCTTACGCGCTGGGAACTGCAACGACTGGGAAGGTCGTTGGCAATTTTTCTATAGCCCAGAAGTGCAAGTCGTGTTGATGTATTATTCTCCCGGCAGTTTTCTCCGCCAAATTGCGACCTATTCAGCGAATGACCTTGCAGGTGGTTGAAGACCGCCCACCGTCATTTCCCTTCAATATGACATTCTAATTTGTCCAAATATCTCGGTCGTATTGCATCTATGGCGCCTCTTTCATCTACAATTAATTTTCTTTTGCTCCGTAGAGGTCACTACCCAACGTGCAAGAAAATCCAAAAACTGAGGGCAATTCTCGACCAAAACCACCATTGTCCGACGATAATTGCCTACGATCGCTCGCTAATCCCCGAAACGAAGCATTTTATTTCTTTTTTTGATGAAAATACAAACCTTCAAAGTCTAGCTACAAAAGCCTCAAGTTCACAGTTGAACAGATTTATAATAACGTTTGAAATATGAACTCAAAGGGACTCATGCCTTTCTGCAAGTCAGGCGAAGGCCTCCATTTCCTTCTCGAAAGTTTGCTGTCGAGCGGTGTGTGAACTTTAGCTGTCAACAGGACCGAAACGGAAAAAAATTGGCTATAAAGGTTTTCTCAACACCACATGCGACCACCTCCTCCGATGGGCTTCACATGTTAATGATTCCCGATCTCGGACGCGGGTTATCACACTAAAAATCTAATTTTTGGCTGGGCTAAAATCTTCAGACCTTAGGAAGGATCTGGTAATCTACAACTAATACTGACATTCCTCGCTTTATAGGAAAATGCACTCAAAGGGATAAATAGAAAGTGAGACCCATTTTTTGGAATGCGTCACGCACTCTACTTCCATTCAGGATCTCAGATGCATTTGATCGCAATACGACCTATACAATAAATTGCTAGGGCCAGCTCATGTAGAGCTCAGGGCTTTCATCCTTCCAGGCGAAGGCGAGTCAAGAACCATCGGCCCGAAGAGATTGGAGGCCTGCTTGCCCGGACGGAAGCCATTCCGGGATCTAATACAGGGATCGTGCACGTTGCAACAGGCCACTTTCCACTACACCACCTCCACCTTTCAAATCCGATCAGGCCTATAAGTTCAACCGTCTAGATGTTAGTTTGACCCAAGTGGGACTCATCCATTACTCATTTATGATTGAGGAAAAAGAGAAGCTTACATCCAACCTTCGAGAAACATTTACTCCTTTTCATCATCGTCATTTTGCTTTTTTTTGTGGATGGGCTGTAAGTGACCCGTGACACGGCTAATGATAACTGGAAAATAACTGTAGATTTGAAGTTCGCCAGAGGTTGAACCCTCAAACCCTTTGGGCGACTTTCTGGTGTAGTTCGGCTTGGAAGGGGCAAGTAGTACTGTTGTTTGTTTGGCCCGGGTGGAGGCCGATCCGGCACTTGACCTTGAGCCATATGCCTCCTCAACAGCACCACTCGCCAATTCAACACTTCTTAGATAAGTCAATACCTTTTGAAAAACTTGTTTCCTATTTTCAACATTCTTGTTCGCCGACATGTGTCAGTTTCATGATTCAGAACGTCCTCAGTGAGAGGCTCCGACCACAGAGCATTTTGTTCTTTCTCACTCTACCTTCATACATAGCCACGCCCTGTCATATGTCACGTCCCCGCAAGAAATCTCGCTCTAGAATTTCCATGAATGAACCCAGAAATTAAGAAATGGCCGCAATTTGAAAAATTCTATAAAAAAGTCTTCGTAGCCAAGTCGCGTTCCGGAATTAGAATGAATCCGCACGTGTGAAATGGCCAACCCCTCCAGGAGAAGAATGTCAGTACGACCCTTTCACAAGCTATTGGTATGACCCCCTGTACTATCAGAACTGCTCTCAGAAATTTCCCGAAATTTTACTGTCGAGCAGCGTATGACAGGCCTGAAACAGGGAAAATCAACAACCAAAAATATCCTTCAACCCCTAAACACGACCCTCCTCCTCACGGCCTAATATGACCCCCCCCCCTCCTCTGATGGGATACATGCTGATTTGCGCTTTCCGGAATAATTCTGTGTCGATATAGTCTCATAGCAGGAAATGGAGCTACAGTCCTGTTGCGGACGCTGGGGTGTTTCTGGAGAGGTGGAGGAGGCGGGGGGGGGAGGGATTGCGCCTGGCTGTTCTCCACCAACTACGGAAGAAGAGAGCAACTAGTGGAGAACAGGGCTGCGCTAACCTCCCTCCCCCTGAAACGTCCTGGCGTCCGCAGCGAGCAAGACTGTCTTTTGCAAATATTTGAGCCTTCTTCACAGTTGTTTAATTGGTAATATCGTACTCGCCGCCGTTTCTTACCATTTGTTATTATCAGTTACTATTATTTGTTACCATGATTAGCGTTATCGTGGCAGCGGTGCTAAAAGCGCTTTGCACGTGTTTCTGCTGGCTTAGCCACATAGGACAGTACGCCATAGGCCCTTATAGGTTGCTCATTTGTACGACGACAAATAGAGGTTGGGAAGGGGCTAAAATTATGAAAGCGCAAAGTCTGAGGGACGCCGAAATTACGCTTAGCATGTAATTTGCATGTAGTGCTACAGAATTCATAATGAGCATAATTTCTTGTATGATCCACATTCTGGTCTCCGCCAAAACTAGCTTCAGTTCTACAGCTTTATGCTCATACCCGTTTCTCAAACGCTTTCCAACACCACCATTTTCGGCCCGTCTTCGTTCTTTCCATACCTATTCAAGTCTCTGCACTTTCTATTGTTTCGACCTCTTCCCACCACAGCTGCATAGCGGAACCTTTGAGGATTGTCTCCACTTGGGGCGAAAGGCTGCTTTGTTAGGCTTGCTCCTGTTTAATGCCGCATTTCAGAAAACGGAGCACAACTTCGGTGGTGTGAGGGACACCGCACCCGCCGGCAAGCGTGAGGTGTGCGTTCGAGTCCCGCTTGGCGGCAGTTCTTTCGCCATCAATAGTTTAGCACTCTTGTGGTGTGAAAACCGTAGTGAAAACTTGGGGATATAGGAGTTGAGGGAACATACTACGCTGCTCGCAAAAGCGGAACCTTCTGAACAAGTCCTCCCTTCTTATCAATGTGCAAGAGCACAGAGAAGAGAAGCTCGTCAATGAAGAAAACCAATGGCCCAAGAAACTCTGCCATTACGATTGACGTCGGTATAAGCCTTTGAATGCTCCTTCAGGTGTCACTTATCGAATGTGGGTGGAAATTGAGCGCATGGCGTCAAGGAAAAACGCCTTCTCATAAATGGCAGGACATAAACTTCAAGAGTTTTGGGAAAACATCAAAGTGAACAATCTGCGGCGCAGTTCGGCTTGGTGGGGGCACCGATTGGTACTCAGCGTACCGTGTAAAGGACAACTTGTGAAGACCTGCGAACTCTTACACTTACTTATAACTAAAGCTGCTCATCTGTTCAGTTTTCAAGCTTCACACAACTGCCAGGTCTCACCAAAATGAGACGAATAGTTGGTCAACATGAAATAGCAAAAGGAATAGGCGAAAGTGCTACTTGCCCCTCCCCCTCAAGCAGAACTGCCCCCACTTTGTTATTGTTTGTTTTCATTCACAAATTTAATGACACGGTCTGCGATAGCGAGCACTGGTATTGATATCGAACTATGGAAGAAAAATTGCCAGTCTTCAATGAGAAAATGCAAAAGGGGACCTCGGAAACGCCTCCATTAAGACCCCTTTAGCCTCCAATGGCTTGGATGAGTGCAAGGCGAAAACAAGCGCCTGCGGTAGACAATCAACTTCTATACTACTGACAGGTAGCATCGTCTTTCGCCACAAAGCAGACTTCGAAGGCCCACGCTGGAGGCGGAGTTCCTAGTGAAAGGGAGGTTGTCACTTGGATACTAAATTCAGCTTTGCGGTCGCTTGCCTGTACAACTTAACCCCCTAAATACCAATGAGTCTTCACTCCCATCCCCCGGACGAATTTCTTGGCATTTCACGAAGGCTTATTGCGTATCGATGCTTTGATGTCCATTGGGTGTACATTTCCTCTGATTTTCTTTCTTCCGAACACATTCTATCGTATTTCATTCAGTCTCTCTTGGGAATTTGATATTACAGTGTAACAGCTTGTGTTTTTGCCTAGCACCAGTCAATACCAGTGGAAGGTCATCATCTACGGGCAGACGAGAAATTCTCGTCTCTGCATAATCCAATGCCCCATTTTCCGTCAGACTTATCGCTTCAGACCATTTCAGATCGTTTTTTTTTTATCTCTTTCCGTCAAAGAAACTTTATGTGCGTTTTGTTTCATTCATCGTGCTATTTCGATTTCTGATGAAATTCTCTTTTAAAATGCTCATATTAATTTCAGGAGACCCATGAACACCTCAAGCATGGCGCAGGAAGACCAAGACCCTAAAGAAGAGAAAGAAGAGCTACTCGAATTCGAGACGGTACGTTCTTCAACTAAAGAACAAATTCATAAAACAAGGGTCCCTTGTGCAAAACTGGGCCTAATCTCATCTAAATAGGCGTACTGTCCGGCGGCTGTTTTGTCGACGAGGGGGGGGGGGGCAATTTTGATTATCATTGCTTCCTCTAGTAAATCTAACTCTGGTAAAACTTGTGAGCTCTTGGTGTAAGCTGAAGTGAAATCGAACGTGTCTACTCGAGAAACCGGCTGGCCTAGATGGGTCGACACATCTATGGAAGCAAAAGTGCCCCCCCCCCATCCGGTCGACATACCTGCCCGTACTGTCGGGCTTTGATTGGTTCACAACGATCGGGCAACGCTCCTCTCTCGGGTTCGGCAGAAGTACTCATCTCATTGGCGTGAATCCCAATTAGCTTAAAAACAGTCCACTATAAATGCTCTTTTCTGAGTTATTACGCCGAAGATAGGGTAGCAAATAATGCGATAAGAAGAAATCATACTAAAAGTGGTAGCATTCGAAGAGCGTAGCGATGATCTAAGCGAAAGTGCAAGAGGTGTGGGAAGGTAGTGCGGTCCGGAGTGGACAACCCTGTGCCAGTTTCGCGGCGGAAAGTTGTACGGTAAAGGAATTGAGGCGCAAAGTTGCTTCAGTGGTACATCCCTTTTCCAGTGACTCCGCCTCCAGACTCCGCCTCCAAAGTCGGCTTTCCAGCCAAAAGTAATGCTTCCCCGACAGTATCTTGTAGGGGGGGGGGGGGATGCATTCAATGTCTCTTGTAGAGTCATATGGTTCATTACTGGGAATCAGCCGACGGGAATCGTCCCAGCGCGCGGTCTTTTCGGTCTTTTACCTCTACAGTTGTTTGAGGCTAGAGGAGGCCTGACGAATGCGTTTCCAACGTTCCTTTGGCATTTTCTCTTCATAGATGGTTCACTTGGCTAATTTCCTTCCACATTTCTGCAAAATCACCTGGGCTTTTATCGCGGACCGTGCCTTGCAATATCCCTTCCATAATGTTTCCAATTGGAAATTCCGCTATTATCCTTAGCTCATAAACTTGAGGTAAAGGCAAGTCCTACATTGTCGTATGGTGGAGTAGCATGTACCATTGTGCCGCCTTTATTAACGAAGCGCCTCTTCGCATTCTTGAGAATAGATGGGTTGCGTCAAGGAGGGATGTATCGCAAAGGCGAATAATGAATCTTTTTCACGGAAAGAATTTTCCTTTCTTGCACTTCGTGCCATCCGCACTACCTCCTGCGCACATTAGAGACCTCATGGGAAGTCCCGCCTCAGACTACCACGCCCCTTTTTCGGGCGAGCTTTTAGGTTGCCTGCGGCTCATTTGCGCAACAACACTCTTTCGAGGCAAACTAGTTCCTCTACAACAAAAAAAATTTGTAAATCCAAGAACAATCCCTTGCCGGTTTTCAAGCACTGATCATATCAGTTAAGTGACTTGCACAGACAACGTTCACTCAGGGCAATACAGGTTAGAGGCCCCCTCTGGACGTCTCAACTCGGGTAGTTCTTTTCCACATAGACTTCCCAATGAAGGCAATTGGGACAGATTTTGTTTTTCAGGCTATGAGAGACTTTTCTACGATGTTTCCATCGATTTCAAGGGACGAAATCGAACGGGTACTGAGGGCAAACGACGGCGATGTCGCAACAACCATTGACGACCTTCTACTAATTTCTCTTGAGGTTAGCATTGATTATCTTAAGTACGACCTTCTACTCATTTCTCTTGAGGTTAGTATGTTTTCCTTGAAGATCTTCCTGAACAGTATCTTTCTGAAAAGCTATTTAGGCCACTCAAATCTCCTCTCCAGCGTCAAGTTCATACCGAAGTCAGAGTGCCCCATCTCCAAATAAGGTAAGTAAGAGGATATGATGAATAGAAGAGAAAAATCTCATTGTTCCCTAGTACCTTTTATCGATATTACGAATGAAATTACTAGTTTACGGGTTATTTTTCGGTGTCGTCAAGTCGTCGATCAGAAGGCGATACCGCATCATCGACTAGGAGCTTACTGAGGTGAGCTAGCACTTTCCTCTCAGCATTTCATGGGTTTTCCCTTACTATGGCTGCTTTATGATTACTATGCTACGATTTTACCACTGACCGCAAAGAATAAGGTAGCCGTATCGAGCGCTGAACATTGAGCAATCGCCTCAGGTTGCGCCATGCGTTTCACTTCCTATCAGTGGCTAGAGGCATTTCAACGACCACAACATCAATAGCATTTTCACGTAGAATCAGTTAGGTTTCATTGCTTATGCCCCATAAATGGCGTCAAAATGACGTGAGGAGCACTCACAGGACCACGGTCAAGCACCACTTTGAGGAAAATTACCCCGTCTATACGACCTCCCATGAAGAAGATGCCGACCCCCCTAAGCACTAAGCAAATACTTCGCTAAACTTAGATTGGTTTCGTGATCAGTAGAGAACTTCCAGGAGACAGGTATGTAAGTAGTCACGAAGGAGGTGTTACGGCCTCTCCTCAAAATAAGGATGAAAATTTCTAGAGAACGCGAGTTTTCAGCATTTCAGGGACCATAGATTGGATAGTGCGGGACCAAAGACAGAACAAAAACTAGTAGGAGAAGGAAGAAAATGTTCCTCCTTCTGTCGACATCAAAACCTTTCAGAAAAAAAACAACTTTAAAGAAATCCGCGGTTGTTTTTCCTGATTCATCGATAAAAATTCAAGTTTTGAAACTTTCTAGAACCATGACTTGGGTAGTGCAGGACCGAGGGCAAAACAAGAACCGGTCCCGAAAAGAAGAAGACTTCCTCTTTCATTTGGCTCCAAATTCAGGAAAAGCCCATTATTTGCAAAATTCCGTCGTTGAGTATTTTTCCAGGTGACGAGGGAATTACCTTTTGCGTTTAAAGCCCACCCTTCAAGAGGCCACAACTTTCTCCACACATAACTTTTGATGGAGAATCAGGAAATATTGGAAACTGTTATAATTGCGCTTTTCTATGCGTACTACAGTTCTGCCACAGCTCATTTACCTAGCGCATAATGGAGCTGCAAATGGGAAAACTAGGGTTTTTCAAGCTGCAAGAGTGAGATTTCTATTTCATTTCCCACAACTCCTTCCAAAGCCCATGAAATATCTACAGGCCATGTTTTCAACCTGTAATTAATGTCAATAGATGAGCTGAAAGATTGTTAGGCTTATCCATGGGGTGCGCCATGCACGCGATCTCCTCCACATTCCTAGTAACAGTCGAAGTCATTTTGTTCCATGAACAGCTTTCTGAGTCTCTTAATTTCCTAAAGTTAGGAGCATGTAGGGGCACTTTCGCGATGGGGTGCGTTTTTTGAAGCCACCTCTACAGTTCCGCTGTCAACCCCTCAGTTCTGTTGATTTCTAATTTCCCTAAACTACCGACCCCCCTTCCAGCGAGCCATATACGACCTCCTAGTTGAGGATTCCGCAACGAATGCTTGACTCTCTATGGGAGGCTGCCAATCAGATTGTTATCTACCATGACTAGTTCCTCATTGGTAATATTTTCGCTACTCGTTTTGTTGACGCAAAAAATACTGTTTTGCGCAGAAATTATAACGCTTGATTTCCCTTTATAAATAGCCGCTCGGGAAACAAAGCAATTATTTCAATTTCTCTTTTCTGTTACGGCCATCTCCAAGGGTTTCCCGCAAACCAATTCAGGACTACGGCAAATCTTTGTAAATAGCCAAATAATAAGGATAAAAATAATAGAAATAATAATAGTAATATTAGTATTGATATTATTGTAAGTGTTAATTTTCTGCCATACGAGGTTGTTAGGTGGAACTTTTATTAATTAGGCCTAACGTTTCGACTGGTTCGTCGTCTTCAGAGGCCAACGGTTCCACCGTTTGCGCGGAGAAAGTCCGCTGCCACACGAGAGCGTTAGTTGGACGTAAATCTGCCACATGCATTGATATTATTATTATTAATATTAATAAAATAATTGTAATATTAATAATAATAAGAAGATAGTGAAATCCTCAAACCGAAACAGTCGAATGACATCCAAACTTTATCCCTAGCTTCAAATTTGTCGTCTTCTGCTACCTACTCTTTCCACTTTTCGACTTCCTCTTTTGTTCTTCAGAGTTTCTCGTCTGAGCGCAGGTGAGCTGGCAAGAGAAAGAGCACGAATCGAGATGATGAAGAGAGAAAATGAACGACGCCTGGATGAAGTTTGTGATGAAAAAGAAGCTAGGTGAGTTATAAATGTATGTCCTCTACATATAGTCCACATACTCTTTTATATGGAGAACCAACAACAAGGGGAACCATGGAACCAAGCATCCTCTGGGTTTCACCGGGTTACATGAGCATGCTGTAGAGCCCACTCGTGCGTGTGTACATTTTTAGAATTGCTGGCGAGATGGATGACTCATATGTCTGGGTCGGGAGATCCAGGGTCAAAGACGCTTTGGAATAGGCTCATGACGCATCTTCACCAGTTCCTGGGTTGATTTCGTTTACTGTTTTGCTTTTGCGCTGAGCCGATTGGGCTCTGGTGCGAATGTCGCGCAGGCGACGCTATTTGCAATACCCTTACCCCGCAATTAATAAGACCCGCTCTCGGCGTTTGTGTCATCGTATAGTTTTCACATAGGTACCCTTGGAGGAGCCTTTCCACAGATTCCCTTGTCCATCTTCCCAGTTACAAACTCCACATTGAAAAAGAAAAAAAAACTGGATGAAAAGTGTGCCACGACTGGATCCCGCTCTGGGATTTTACATTAGACACCCTTCGAAGAAAGGCTGTGTAAAATTAGCTCAAAATTCGGTGCTGGGAAGGCAAAAAGGTGCACTCGAATTGTAGAGACTCTCAGGTGTAGTTCGTTGATGTCTCAGTGACAAAAGAAAGCTGTTGTGATCACCTCGCAGTATAGCAAAGGTCTGACTAAACCCAGGCGGGATTCGATCGCGCACCCCTACTCCCTTTTCCGGGCGAGTTTCTATTACGCCACCGTAACCGCTCTTACCCGCTTAGCTCGATGGTTTTCGTGCCGTAGCCTTACAGCCCTCACACGTTCGTAATGAGCAGGCGATACAAAATCCAATGCACATGAGAGCTTTGAGCACACAATACAAAATGCAATGCAAAGTGCAAAATGCAAAGCCCTTAAGCGCATGGTTCTTTTTCTTATAGTGTTAGTGGATTGGGGACGGCGAGATGACTTTACTTCTAACCACAAATTGTTTAGGAGGATTAGCTGGCAAGTTTATGGGAGGATTAGCTATTCTCTGAGAGTCACTTTGTCAGCCGAAAACACATTCCAGTATCTTATACCAGAAAAGACAAATGTCAACTGTAGACCTATTCCGCGTCTAGTGGGATGAACAGACATTCTCATAATTTATACTTCCTTTTCAAGGTGGCAGCTGGTGCAGTAGCAAGTAGCACGGTTTTACCTTAGCGCACTTGTCGAGGGCGGCAAATTCTCGATCTGCCTCCGCCCCCAAACCGAACCAAGCTTTTTACCCGAGGACGGTAAGTTGGTGCCAGATTCGTATCGGAGGATAAGAATACTGACTTGCACATCTGCTGGCCCCCGCAGGTCCATTCTATAGGTCACATAGCATTCAATATGTACTACGATTCTGAATCGAAGTAGAATGCGTGCCGCATCCCACAGAGGGATTCGTTAACTTCCATGCTTTTTATCCTTTTATACTGCCTCCTTTACTGGCACACGCCTTTCATTACTATTGTTTATTGTTTCTTTTTTTTTATACCGATTAGAAGGAGTGCCGCGCCCCTTTATGAGTCCTCGCCCATCCTGTTCAGGTGGAGTTTCTTCAGGTTTGTCGGCGGATTCCTCTTCTTCTTCTCCGTAGCGTCAGTCCCGCGCCGTCGCAGGTCCGCTGTTCTTGGACAGACGTCGCCACCTTGTTTCCGAGTGCACGTTAGTCTTAGTACGTGCCCATACCATCGCAGTCGCTGCTCTCGTGCCTTCAGCTGGATCGGAGCGGTCTGTGTGACCGCCCTGACGTCCTCGTTTCTGACTCTGTCGAGTCGTGTCCAGCCGCAGGCCCATCTCAGCATCCTCATTTCAGCTGAGTGGAGCTGCCTTTCATGGTTCTTGCAGATCGGCCAGCACTCACTGCCGTAGAGCATTGTAGGCCTTACCACCGCCTGGTACACCTTGCCCCAGCAGGGTCGCCGCTTCTCTCGGTACTTTTCCATCAGCTGTCTGGCGATGAAGATGGCATCAGTGGTGGACCTTTCGGGCATGAAGCCGAACTGTTCCTGCGAGATAGGGACAAGTTCCCTCAGCCTTGTGTTGACCAGGCGCTCGTACAGCTTCATGGTATGGGTAGTTCAACTGACATGCCTCACGGTAGCAGGGAGCACGTCGTTCGCTTTCCCGTTTCTGTTTTGAGATATGTGCTGCTCCTCCACGCATCCGGCATCCTCCCTTGCAAGGCGGATTTCCTCAGAATCGACTAATACTGAGTGCTCTAAGGTTCTGCTTTATTGTTCAAGAAAATGGTGTCAAAAGCACGTAGTGACTGAAAAAGGGTTGATCATTTCGAACTACTGAGAGGATATGGCTCACCATGTTCTTTCCCTGAGCTTCGTTTTCTATGCACTTTTGATGGGCGAGATGATGACGAAATATACGCTGCAAAAAATACTGGATTAGGAAAAACATATTTGAAACGGACTAAAGAAAATTTTCCGGCGCCAATGACCTTGGGGATTTTAAGGACCTTTTTGTGATAAAAATGGAAATACAGCAACAGAAGGCGAGAGATGAAGGCTTTTGCTTGAGCCCAAATTGATACGGAGTTTTTGGGTGGGCGAGCCAATTTCGAAGTATCCGA